TGCCAAAAGACACTTAACTTCTCTGAGACTTCGTCCAGCCATCTATAAAATGAGCAGTGTGGGGCCCTCCCTGGTGGCACAGCAGGTTAAAGCACAACACCTAGAAGCTAAAGCCTCTTCAGCATGAGTTTGATCCCCACCCCGGAGGTGACCCACATGGCATGGCAGACCTCTCCTGACCCACCCGCTGCTCCCCTCAGCAGTGTACATTGTTAATCTGCCTGTTCTGCTCCCCACTCTGTCTCTGGTGAATCCTTTCTCTGCCCCTGTGCACCTGGCCTGTACCCCAGTTCTGTATGCATAAATAAATCTAATTTTTTTTTAAATGAGCAGTGTGTGTGTATGTGTGTGTGTGGCATGCACGTGCATGCATAAGCATAAGAGAGTGAGAGATAAAGAAAGAGAAGGAAAGAGAGGGAAAGGAAGGGAGAGGAAGAGGAAGGGAAGGAGAGGGAGGAAAGATTAAGATAGGCAGGTGGGAAGGAGAGAGCCAGGAAGGGAGGCAAGGAGGGAGAGAGAAAGGGAAGTAGATTTCATCCACACTTGAATCCTAAGTTATTCATGCTACTGGAAAGAACTCATGAATTCTTCTACAATTCGACAGAATAGAAGGAGCAGGGTAGGGTGCCACGGATCTTTTAATTGGCTATATTTTACTCATTAGGTTATTTAACCTCAGTTCTTGGAATTCCACAGTGATCTTCTCTCTTTCAAACTCTTTTGTTTGTTTCCTAGGAAAAAAATTCCCTGATGTATTTCATCTCTTTACAATCTTGGGTTTCTTCCTCCACCAACTCTGCAAGTGTTAAGTCTGCCACAGGCCACTTCATAGTTAAAGTCAGGGTGATGATGAGAACCCAGCAAAGAGCCTGGAAGGCAGCAACCTGTGTCCTAGAAACTAACTGAAGAATATGTTAGTGTATGTCAAATGCTGCTGCCACATTAATTAAGATGAGGGCTTGAGAAGTGACCACAGGATTTAGAGGCATGAAAGTCATCAATGACCTTAACAAAAAGTTTTGTTTTTAAAGATTTATTTATTTATGCATACAGAACTGGGATACAGTCCAGTGGTGCAGGGGCAGTGAGAGGATTCACTAGAGTCAGAGTGGGGAACAGAACCGGCAGATGGAGGAAGTACACTGCTGAGGGGAGCAGCGGGCAAGACAGGAGAGGTCTGTTGGGCCACATGGGTCACCTCTGGGGCAGGAATCAAATTCTCACTGAAGCAGCCTCAGCCAGCTTCACAGTGCTGTGCTTTAACTCATTGTGCTGCAAGGGAGGGCTGACAAGAAGTTACAGTGAGGTAGTTTTACAAGAAATGGTGGTGATAAAATCAGGGAAAACAAAACAAAACAAAACATAAAAACAACTCCTTCAAAGAATTTGATGTTGAGAGGTAAAAGGAGACCATGATGGAGTGAAATGGATTCAAGTGAGAATTTTTTCAAATATTTAAAATGTATTTTTGAACTATTCTAATAAACATGCTCGAAAAGGAAGGAAAACTGGTAATGCAGAACAGAGAAGGAAACATTGCTGAAATAGTCCTCAGGTATGCAGGAAGGATGGGATTTGACAAAATAGAGACAATGGCTTAAGATTGAAATGAGATCAATTCATCCAGAGTAGTATCAAAGATGGGAAGCACATGCCAAGGCATATAGCTGAGTAGCACATGGTGGTGGCAGTACAGAAGATTTATTTTCTAATTCCTTTTGTTTTCTTGGCTATGACTTGAGAAAAGATCTGATATTAGAAGTTTACAAAGAAAAGAAAATGTATTCTTAGTTATATAGAAAAGGGTAAGTGTGCTTTGCTTCCCAGATAGTTTAAAGGGTCCAACTGGTTTCAGGTGACAAGAATCGTAGAGGACATTGTAGGGCTGGGTGTTTTGGTCCTAATCAAATATGAAGGAAAAGGTGCCAAAGATTTGAGAGTACATACAAGAGATTTACTATAGTGATTGTGTAGGGAAGTGAAACTGGAGAGAGAAGGAAGTAGTTGGAGTAAGAGAAGGATGAAAGGAAGAAGCTAGCTCATCCCTCTCATAGGCTCTGCTGAGGCCAAGAGGCTGTTTGAACCAGCTGATGAAGGGAAGAAATGAAATGAACCTATAATAGACTACTTCTTTGGCAGAATACTTATCCCAGTGTTCATATGCTAATTAAGAGGGGGCACAATATTGTACAAGGGTATAAAATGATGTGGGGGGGGGTTAATAAGACAAATTAACCTTTACTATATAGTCTGTCGAGTACCAGGCACTACACTAGGAATTTGGCAGGCGTTAGCTTCATTTAGTGACCTCGTCATCCCTATGAGGTGATAAAGCAAATACAATCATGACCATCATAGAAACTAAGCTCCAAGCCATTCTACTTTGCAGCATCTACCACAGTGGGCAGTGGCTGGTGTTCAGGACAGAAACACACGTACAAGCGACAACAGGTGACACAGCTTTCCCTTCCCCAGATGCACACTACATAGAATGAAATATTTTGACGTGAGTATTATTTCCTGTCACAAGAATGAGGAGGTGAAGGGACAGAGGACCCTAACAGGTAAAAATATACATATATATCCTCATATATTGGAAAAAATACATCGTGACTTTTCTAGCAACCTAATATTTTGCTGAAACATGATTATTCTCCCTCCCTGATAACTGTTATATATTACTATAGCATACTGCTTTAGTGCTTTAGGTTTATTTTCTACTTTGTTTTTCTTAAATACATTTTTTATCTATAAGCAAATATTTCTAAAGTGAAAGAGACAGATGCATTGAAGAGCTGTTAGTTTGTTTTTGTTTTTAATCACCTTGGTTATTTTGCTTTTGGAATTACTAAATATTTTTCAACATCTCAACAAAATAATACTCTTTTAAGACTGCAGGCATTAGGATGATTGTCATTCATGCAAATAATCACTTACTTACACTATATGAGTTTGGGTTGGATAAAGCAAATTACCATTTGAAAAATAATTCAAATAACACTCTGGGCTAAGACCCTGCTTATGAATGTTATCTTGGCCACAATATTTCTTAACCTTCTTCTATTTAGCTAGATTTATTTATGGTAATACAGTCTAAAATAATAAACTGTTCAATTGCCACAGGTGTATTCAATATATGATGTTAGAGGAATATATCAGATGCAAATGAACTTTAAAACATATTTTCATTTGCATTTTATAGCAGCAATAATTAAGATGTGCTATAACCACCTACTCAAAGATGTATATTTTGCCTATGTATTATATAAAATATAAAAAAATTTTAAAAATACATCAAAAGATAAGGTTTGAAATTTTAAATTGTTATCTAGAATAAAAGCTTATTCTAGATAATAATAAATCCAAATCAAATTTTCAAAAGTTGAAATTCTCTAGTCACACATGAGTTTTACATATACAAATACTTATTAGTGTACATATAGACATCTACCTAGAGAATCAATTGTGATCTCAGTTTTACTTAGCTTTATCGTCTTCAAAATTGAAAGTAAATCATTAAATATATATATTTTTAAGATTTATTTATTTCTGCATACAGAACTGAGGTACAGGCCAGAGGTGCATGGGCAGTGAGAGGATTCACCAGAGACAGAGTGGGGAGCAGAACAGGCAGATCGATGAAGTACACTGCTGAGGGGAGCAGGAGAGGTCTGCCAGGCCATATGGTCACCTCCAGGGCGGGAGGGGTTCGAACTTATACTGAAGTGGCTTTAGCTTCTTAGTGCTGTATTTTAACCCGTTGTCCCACCAGGGAGGGCCATTAAGTATTTTTGAAAAATAACTTACAGCAGAATTGTAAGCAATAAGCTTGAATTGTAAGCAAAAAACTAAATCAAAAGTAGTAGGGTCCAATCTGAGGCAGTAAATCAGCAGTGGGGATGTGAGGCAATCTTTTTTCTCTGGGCTTCTGTTTTCTGAACTTCATAAAGCAAGGGTTGAACAAGGTGGCCTAAATTAAATTTTATGGCTCACTAAAACTTGATTTGGTAATAGGAAGATTTTTATTTAGAGAAATATTGACTAGTAAAACACTCAAATAAATCAGTAGTAGGGGTGGGGGTGAGGACTACTATCCCCATAGCTTCAATCAGTCTAGGACAGAGAGACCAATGCTGACCTCAAGCACAGCAGGTATGAATACTGTTTCCTGTCTTCATTTCAAGGCTGGGAAAGAAACAGCTGTCCCTGAACCCTTTTTAAGGACTCAATCAGTTACAAAACAGCAGTATCGCTGGCTAGTGTGAGAACCACCGAAGTAAACTTTCTATTCACAAGGGAGAAATATTCCTGGTGGTAGAAAACACAATTTTTCTAGGTTTAATCAAAAGTGAAAAGGAATTCTATAATTCCCTTTGAGACACATCATCCACTGTTAATTCAGTGTGGTCCTAGCAACAAGAATAATATAAAAAGTCCTTGGTAACTGCGAAAAAGAAATAGCAATTAAGTACATTTGCAACCTGATACAGAAGAACTATCTATGATAATGTAAATAATAAAGTATAGAAGAAGGAAAAAAAGAAGAAAATAACATGGGAAATGAAAGGAGTCCAGGCAGGGGGATTTAACATTGATTTACTAAGGATAATTACTATTACACATATAAACCAATCTGGCATATGCTGAGCGCAAAGGTTGAGAAATATGCTTGATAATGACTTCTGTAACAAGGCAACAAATAAAGAAACAAAACAATAAGTGTTGAAAGCCGAAGCAGCTTCTTTGCCAGAGAAATAAATAAAAGAAAAGAAAGGAAAAACTCGATATGGAAACTGAGCATTCAGTGAGTGATACACTGGACACAAGATTATTTAAAATCTTTTGTAAATCACAGCACAGTAAAAAAATTTAAAAAAAAACTTGCTTCTCTAATTAACCATACTTTTGCTGAAAAGTTAAAATTGGCAAAAAAGACACCAATTCTATACATTTGGGGCATAATTTATGACACAATAATGAAAACAGTCAAACATACTGACCTGCTTACATCGGGAAACCTGATGGGAAAGTAAATAACTTGGCATTTGGGTCTGATGATGCTTTCCAGATCCTTGGGTCTGTGATCAGGAATCAGCTTCATAAATTTTCCAATAGAAGTGAGAAATGACTCCATATTAAAAACTGAGTTGAATACTACCACATCAGCCACCAAGCTGTAAAGGGAAATGATAAATGCAAATGACAAGTCTGCACCTGTTCAGATATTTTTTTATAAGCCTGAGAGACTTCTCTGTATTAACCAGAGTTCATACTACATCTTGGGTTTGCAAAGAACTTTGCATTTCTCATCAGAATTTATCAAAATGTCTCTAGCAGATAAGTTGGTTCCATTAGTATTATAGAAGGTAGATTGTTGGCATCAGGGAGGAGAGGCAGGAAAGAAATGTAATGGGCCATGATGCTTCACACCAAAGCACAGTCTGCAATGCCAGAGACTTTCTATATTATCAACAGCACAACAGAACTTTTTTTCCTTGTGACCCAACTACCCGTACTGGGTTTGTATGTCAGTGATGTACACTGTTTTTTCACCAGACTGCTGAGAACTGAACATTTGCTGTACTTTTCACTACTTTCAAAGAAACAATTCAGATAAAACTATTTCATCCTTGAGCACAACCTTCAAAATGGTTAAAATCTATTTTCTGATTTAGCCTTTGCTTCAAGAAGTTGTGTTAGCTTTTTTTAAGTTCTGGAAGTACACAGAAATCATTATATAGAATCTCTAGAAATAATTTATTTCAACTCTATTTTAAGTAATCAGAGAATAGAACACATTGTTGGAAATGGTCCAGAAGTCCTTATTGTGAGGTCCTACTGATCAAAGGAATATGTTACAAACAATCACAATATTATAGAGCCTCATACTTAAAATAAATATAATATTGACTACTGCGGTTAATGAAAACACTGTGTTTGTCTCAATATTTCTTAAGTAGAAATAATGTAAAATACAGTGTTATAAGGACATGTGAAAGCAAAATTAATGTGTCAAAAATAATTTAACACTTTTCAGAATTATCTGTAATATTTTCTTTGAAACCAATGAACACAAGACATAACAATAGGTATGCTGGATAAAACTTGAATCTACAGTCTGAATATGTAGTATGGTCCTTCACCAGTCCATAACATGACTTAGTAAGTCAGTCACAGTTTTATAAAAATTGGTCCCCTTAAGAAATGATCAGCGTCACTGGAATTCATGCTTTCAAAAAAAAGTATGTACGATTAAATAGACAACAGTTTTATTTTGCCCTAAATTTTAGTTTAAGAAAACTGAAGACAGTTAAGTCCATAGGATTGCAAAATTTACAGAATAGGAATATCACAGCAAAGTGTCCCTTTTGTTTAATTTGTATTTACTGTGGCAGTCAAAGATCCTATTATGTATACATACTGGAATGAAAAACCAGCAAAAGGAATGTTGACCTGCCACCCCTACGCCTCCCCTGCAAAATTGTTTTTCCATATAGTATTTTTTTAGTTGCAATCTAGTGCAAATTTGGGGGTAGGGGTGATTACAACATGGATAATACAAAAGAATGTCATAGAAGTGCTGACACAACACCAAACAACAAGGAAACCAATATAATAATATACCAAAAGTTGAAGGATGTTTTACAGCTAGTCTGTTTTCACCATATGTCACATATTGTAATAGCGACCCACAGGTCATAATATATAGTTACGACATGTGTTCATAAGTCAGGGGGTTAGTGAAACCTCTATTTAAGGTGAGTGCTTATGTCAGTCATCTATAAAGCCCTTAACTGCCACACAGTCAAGAAAGAAATCTGACAGTGCCAACAAAAGCAGAAGTCAGCAAGAAAACTAAAGAAACATTTGAGGAAGCAAGAGTCATACTTTTCAAAGAGAATCTGAACAGGACTGCTTTTTGACACTCTTATTTTTCCTCTGGACAACCATGAACTCTTTTTTTCTTATTAAGAAGCCAGTGATGACCACTGGCTTCTTTCTCTTCAAGTCTGCTTATCAGTTTAGCTTTCTAAGAAAAGCAATGCAGAAAAATCATGTGCATGATATCAGTCTTATTCCTTATGAGCAAAACAATCTTTTCTAAAAAGATAATGTTATAAGATAATGAGTTAGAATTTTGTCTAGATATCTGCCTTCTTTGTTAGCATGTAGCCCAACTACTTGAATCCTTAAAAACCCTGTCTTTACTAAATTAAAAATCCAAGATAATTTTTTTAAAGATTTATTTATTTATTTATTTATTTATACATACAGAACTTGGGTACAGGCCAGAAGTGCAGGGCCGGTGAGAGGATTCACCAGAGACAGAGTGGGGAGCAGAACAGGCAGATCGACCAAGTATACTGCTGAGGGGAGTAGCAGGAGGGTCAGGAAAGGTCTGCCACACCATGTGGATCTCCTGCGGGGCAGGCGGGGATCGAACTCATGCGGAAGTGGCTTAAGCTTCTTTGTGCAGTGCTTTAACCTGCTGTGCCACCAGGGAGGGCCAGATCCAAGATAATTTAGAAAAAATATTCTTTTTCATGTTTTCCTCTCTATTTGAGTGAGTGTAATTTCCATTAACTTTAAAGCCACCCATAAAGGGAAAAATAGCCTTAATTTTTTTCTCCAGTTATTTCTCAGGAGTAATAAATACACACGATCTGAGGAGAAGAATGATGCCAATTCAAGAAATCAAAAGAATATTACAAATGTTTTCCATATTGATAAGTCATAACATGATTTTATCTTTTTGTTTTTAAAACATATTTCCCTTCTCTGTTTCAATATGAAATAAAGTATTTTAATTTTATTATGAAATTTTAAAACCGTTGCTTTTTTATGAGACATTTGACGTGAAGCAGTTCCACTCTATTTTGATGGCACTGCTACTTCACAATGGAAGCAGCTTATAAAAATGATTGCAGAAAAACATTTACAAAATGCTCAAAACACAGAAGTATTACCATATAGCTGCCTTTCTGTGTCAACTAAACTATGGAACATACTTGCAAGAACTGGGACTCTATTTAAACACATCATCAATCCCAGTTGCTAATAACTATTTTAAAAAGGTGACTAAAATGTACCCAGTGTTTGCCAAACTGATTCAATTTGATTGCTGCAGTTATGTGAATAGGATCCGATAGCAGCAAAGCCATTTCAGAGTTGTTATTAACTTCTTTCATTAACTAAGCTTCAGGAGATACACTTTGTTGAAGTGACAAAAGAAAAAGACCATCACCTTTGAAATGTCATGGTATTTTAAGGCTGTGCAATTTCAGAAGACTCAATGAGGGGAAAAAAAAAAAAAAACAACCACCTAAAGATTCATTTTCCATAGTTTTGTTGTATAAACAATAAAAAAAAGGACAAAAACCCCTTGGTCCATTATGCTTTAATTTTTGCTTATTCCACTGTAAATTTATATTTTTATTTCAGCTGCAGACTTTGAAAGTGGTTTGGTAAATAAGAGTTGAGTAAATGCCCTTTTTTGAAAAGTTTGCCTTAAACAATAGATAGTGGAATCAAAGGGTGAAGAATGTCCCTGTCAACTCTGATTCTATTTGAATGTGATGGAAAAACAGTCAAATAATTAGTTCAACATATAATTAGACTGTTTTGTATCTGTATTTTTTTGTATAATGATTAGCTGTGATCACATAGATATTTAAGAAGAACAGTAGTAATCGCCATGGAAGGTATGTCTAAACCTCAGCACCGACTTTTAGCTTTTAAAAATAAGTTTACAGGAGGTCTCCATATGCAAAAGCTAACCATCTGTAAAGAAAAAGATGGCAAAGGCCTAAAAAGAATGATTTAATCTATACCTACCATGAGAGAATTTGGTTGTATCCATATTGGAAATCCCTCTCCTGACATTTTTTGACAGGATATACCAATTGATTCTCGTGGAAGTATAGAATCTTTTTCAGTTTCCCAAGGTCAGGCCGAAGGGCAGCCAGTTCGGTCAGGTTAAGCACTGAGCTTGCAAAGAGGATCCTAGGAAACAAGAAAATTAGGTTTATTGTCCTGAGCATGTTTGAAGGGGTCATCTTTCGCCCTTCTCTCCTCTTCCCTCATCCTAACCCATGAAAAACACATCCCCTATAGGGACACATCAATAGTTAAGCCTTAATACCATGTAGCAGCATTCTAAGTTTTGATCTCTTAAAAAGCAGCTGCTAAGAACTATAAAAGCCCCAAATCTCATTGGTCTTCTCAGCTCAGTTACTGAGAGATGCAAAATAAAAAAATAAAAGCTGGATGGATTTTATTGAAAAAGGCAAGAAAAGCTCTATCTGAAGGACAAATGGAACAAAGATAAGGCTGACTGGGGAATACTTTGTTTGCCAGTTTCATTACACTTCACTTCTTTATGCAACTGACTCCTGAAATTCAATATACAGGCAGGAATGGCACATGTTCATGTTATGACATAAACCCTTTTGATTTATGCAACAGACTTATCCAGTGTGGTCTCTTTCTCTTGGCATGTTTTCTTCTGTCCCTCTCTCCCTGCTTTTTAACTGTTCTACAATATTTGTTCTTATTTTTATGGACTGTTACATTACTAGATTGCTAATAGCACCAGGTATATAATCTGCAAAACACCTTACAGCAAACAAATATTAAACCAGCAACAAAGAAAGGCTGATTTTCTTGTCCTCCCAGGAAAAAGGAAAATTGAGGACTGACCTACCTGCATTGATAAAATGAAAACAGTACTTATTTACTAACTCATTTCAAACACTTACTAAATGCTTACTATGTACAGGGCCTACCCAGAAAGAACAGAAAAGATGAATAAGGGAGCATGTCGGGGTGAATGTTGCTGAAACAGTGACACATACCAAGTATTAGAGGAATAAACACAAGGGAGCAGGAACTGAGTGAGTTGACCTGAACAGTACAAGCCTACTGCACATGCGCAGAGAAACAGGACAAATTACAGTCCCTGAACAACCGAGGATATTAGATGGCACAATTCTGATGAAAAGCCACCTTTATAACATAATGTAACATCATTTGACCCTTACAGTTTAAATTCCCTTTCTAAAAAATGAGGCTCAAGGAGGTTAAGAGTTTTTTCTAGAATCACTACTGATAGGAAGTAGCAAAACAGTGACTCCTCATCTTCTAAGATCGAAGTGCTTCTCACTATCTTGCAGCTATGAATTAGGTATAGCCCTTTTTTCTGGGCTTAATAAAGCCCTTTTTTCTGGGCTTAATAAATACAAAATACCATCCGTGTTATTACCATGATTACAACTACCACAAATTTTCCTTTGCTGACAAGCCAAATGGCTAACTTCAGGTGTTTATATGATCCGCTGCACTAGCCTTTCACATAAGAAGAATGATTACATAGTAAGTGCATATATCATAAACAGGCATTCAAGTGTCTCCTTCATGGGTTAAAAAAGGCAGGTAAGACCAAAACCCAAAGGTCTCTCTTTAAATCCACATTGCATATTGTCATGGGTTATCATGTTGAAGTAAAAAAAATCTTACCATGGACATGTATTTATTTTAAAAAATTATCTTCTTAGAATCAATGTAATGAACAGAAAATTATGGTCAGAAATGCCCTAGGTAGAAACCTTTCAAAAACTTCAAAAATCTTAAAATATGAAGATAAAGATATTTGCTAATACACAAATCTGGTCCTTCCTAAGTAGACGACAATAAAATATTGATTCCAATCAATCAATCTTTTCCTTAACAGAATATAGATGACTGTCAGCATAATTATGAGGGCATACTCATTTCTCCTCCTTTACTCCTACATTTTCCCAACATACATGCCTTGCAAGGACTCATTCCTAATCATTATGACATCAGCTAATGCAAAGCTTTTCACACACAAAGCAGAAAATCTCATTAAATAAACTCCCATATAATTTACTGGTTTCAAAGTAAAAATACTATTTTAATAATGGAAAAATGTGGTATCAACTTACCCCAGTGATCAAACTTACAGTCAAAATGGATCAAAGTGAATTCATGTATCTCCCCAACATTACACACTGACAAAGACACAAATCACCAATGAGGCATTCCAACCCAAAATGCCTCCTTCGAATGTGGTCATGCAAAACAGTCAGACATATATTTTGCAAAATAATTGCGCTGAACTTCCAAACAATGCCAATGCCATAAGGGAGAGGAGAGGAGATCTAGAGTAAAAAGAAATAAAGAGACCTCAAAACAAAATGCAATGTGTGAACCTTGACTGGTACCACATGGAAAAAGAAAAATAATGAATAAAGGACAACAGAGAGAGTTTGAACACACTATTGTAAATTTTTATCAATCTTAAATGTCTTAGCTATAGTCACTTTATTGCAGTTATATAGGACACATTCTTAGGAAATAGGTGTTGAACTACTTGTGAAGTGTCATCATGGCAGTATCTAATTCTTAAACAGCTTAGTCAAAAGGCCACTAATTCAAAATAATCTTATTTTTACACAGACTTAAATTCCTAAATGTGTAAAATGTTAGCAATTAGTTTAATGAATTGCAGTTTTTTACCTCATCTTGCAAATTCTTATTAATTATATACTTATAAAACTACAAATTTGGTAACTTGTGTTAAATGGCAGGCAGTAAGAAAGGAAAATATGCTGCATTCCACACAATAAGCCCACCATATCTGCTTTACTAGTTAGAATCAAATTGTTAATTTCCTCCCTGAGAATTACTGGATGGACCATCTGTAGCCAATGTTTAACCAGAGAGAGCTTCACTCTACTCTTACATCATCCCTCCTTTCTCCGTAGGCATCAGATGACCCCTGGTCAAGGAATTCAAATCTTAAGTTAAGTTTTTGAAATAAAACCTCACAAATGAACAAACACAATACATTCAAAGATGAAATGGCAATTTTGACCATTTAGAACTGCCTATACCAACACTTCCTTCAGTTTTTTCCATAATTACCAGGAAATTTATTTCATTTTTAAAACTCAATCTGAAATAGCCTTCATTATTTCTAAATTGTAGAAGTTATTTCCATCATTAGTAAGATATCTCTCTGTGTTTTCACTTATAAAATAGCAGTTAACTTGGACAAAATACAATTCTTCAAATATTTAGTTCACTGACACCCAAAAAGAACTGACAAATATACCTGCAAAAGGAATGCAGGCGTGATTCACAGGCAATTTTTACTCTGCCTCCTTCCATCAACTAAAACAGAAAGTTTATAATAAAACAATGAATGACATCACTCATTTATCAGCTTATCCAAACGCTCCCAATGTTCATCTTGCCTCAGGTATTATTTAAACAATAAATCCTAACAAGGTGAGCTTTATCATTCCATACTGTGTCTCTGGCAGGAAAGGGCAAAAGGTGATAGCAAACACCACTAGGAACAAGATAATTCCTGACAGCTGCTGCTTGAGCACAAGTTAAATTGAACAGTTTATCTCAGCATGAAGATGTTATAAGGTTTTATGTTTAATATTTTTAAATTAACATAAAATCCAGAGAAAGCAGTTGGGCAATCTTTCACAAACATGACATACTACAATCACTGTATAAGCTGGATTAGTACTTATTACCATGCTACTACAGAATTAAGCTGTTTTTAGACCACCAAAGAGCTTTAAATTGCAACTTTTGTCTCTGTAAGAGAAACCTGTATTTAAAATGTCTGCTAAATTCAAATTAACGGCTACATCATTAGCTTACCATCTCACCAAAAGTATAAGCAAGCTGCTATTATAATCGTCTAACCAAAACGGCTCTGTGCTGCGAGCACATTAACACCATCCTGTAGATTTAGGTTTGTATCCATCTACATGTTTCAATTGTTTTCAATGCACCTTATAACTGCAATATAGTCATGTTAGCTTAAGGAATCCAAAGCCAACATAACGAAACTCAAGATTAGAGATTTTATTCTTTTCTGGCCCCTGTTGAATAAACTAGTTGTCTCACACCCCATTAATTAATATACAAAAAGAGATACTGCAATATAGAGACTTGGTGACTAATGTCAAGAAGCATACATGTATTAGTAGTATAGAAGGGCCGTGACATGAAAAACAGAGGACAAGCATTCATATACCAACCTGCCACATACAATCGAGCAATAATTGTACAAGGACTAGATTTTCTCCTCTGGCCCTGTGAAATCTTTTCAGTAGCCACCCACCCCCTGAATCTATTTATCTCATAACAGGGGAAACAGTTCACAATTTAACGCACACACCAGTTTGAGTTGTGTTACTCATGCTTAAATAATTCTTGCCAGGGCCTCAGTAGCCCTTTGACAAGAGAGTAAATCTCATTCCTCCAATTGTGCCACTTTGCTGAAAACTTAAACTTGTCTAGATTCCTGCTGCCCATCCCTGTTATCAAAGTCTTTGTTCTTCAGTTCCGTATCTCGAGTTCCTGTTTTTCACTATCTGCTCTTCAAGATTCTAGATCCTGTACTTTCTGTGATAAAGTATTTTCTGTACTGAAGGAAATGTTCTACATCTCCATGTGGTTAGCAAGCACTTAAATGCAGCTACACAGCCTAGAAACTAAATTTTCAATATTATTTTATTGTATTAAGTTAAATAGGGATACAGATACAAAATGGCTATTACATAGGAAAATTCTGGATGGGACAGTTTTCCTTAACCCAACACCCACAACAGCTGAACACAATTCGGCAATTAATTGATTCGGTAACCTTGACTTGCTCATGATAAACTAATATCTAAGTTCCTCCTGATTAGCTGAATTTCACCTACTAAGTTTTCCATTTCTAGATGGCACGACTTGTCCCTCTCCTGAAAATTATAAAATAGATGCTCATTTCATGTTTAGGCACAAAAATATACAAAAACTTAAATGAATACCATCCAAATTACCCTGGAAAGAATTAGCCACTATTTACTTTTTGGCAAGTGTATTTTGAACATTATGATCTGCAAGGGACTAGTCTAAGTGAAGGATGTAAAAAGAAAAAAAAACAAAGTAGCTAAGGCAAGAAGAAAATT